TTGGAGGAAGACTCATTAACAACCTGCAATATGCAGTTGATACAACATTGCTTGCTGACAATGAAGAGGACTTAAAACATTTACTTATGAAGATCAAAGAGCACAGCCTTTGGTATGGATTATATCTCAATGTCAAGAAAACAAAATCCTTGCCACTGGACCAATAAACAAAATTCTTATCAATGGAGAAAAGATTGAAGTCGCCAAGGACTTCATTGTTCTTGGATCAGCTATCAACACTCACGGAAGCAGCATTCAAGAGATCAAATGACGAATTGCATTAGGCAAAACTGCTGCACAAGACCTTTTAAAAGTGTTGAAGAGCAAAGATGTCAGCTTGAGGACTAAGGTATGCCTGACCCAAGCCATGGCATTTTTTAAAAGCTCATATGGATGCGAAAGCTGGACAGTGAATAAGAAAGATTGTAGAAGAATTGATCCTTTTGAGTTATGGTGTTAGAGGAGAATATTGAAAGTGCCATGGGCTGCCCATAGAACCAACAGATCTGTGTTGAAAGAAGTCCAGCCAGATTGCTCCTTGGAGGCCAGGATGGCCAAACTTCGTCTCTCATACTTTGGACATATTGTCAGGAGGGACCAGTTGCTGGAGAAGGATATCATGTTTGGTAAGGTGGAGGGTCAGAGAAAAAGAGAAAGATCCCCAACAAGATGGATTGGCCAAGTGGTAGCATGGATGGGCTCAAGCGTGGCAACAGTAGTGAGGTTGGCCTAGAATTGGGCAGTGTTTTGTTCTGCTGTGTATAAGGTCGCTATGGGTCAGACCGACTCGATGGCACCTAACAACAACAACAACAACAACAATACAAGCCTTTAAAGAACACAGAAAAATTAAATTGTTTCTCATTGGTATTAAGATGATTTTGTATGGTTTGGGTTTGCATGAGCGTTCTTACTATTTAAAATTCCCAGGCAAACCGAGGGTCACCTGTTTATATGGAAAGTGGCAAGGGTTAGGAAATTGCTTTGCAAAGGTACCATGATGGCAACTGTCAGCATCGGTGAGCAGTTCTGAATGCTCTCCTGGTGTGGCGGTACAGGATAAAGCTCTGGATAAAGCAGGATAAAGCCAGCTCAGGTTGAACCACAAGGTTGGCAGTTCAAATTCAACTCACCAGCCACTCTCAGCAACTCTATACAGGGCAACTAAGAGTTGGAGTCAACTCGATGGCACTTAACAACAACACTAAATGCTGTGTCCAACCCAAACCAGAAACTCTTGCTTTCTTGAATGTTCCATGGACTCTCATGAGCTTTGGTCCTATTTTAAGAAGACTGGAGAAATGAACATTCACCATAGTGCACCTGAGTCTTCAAAGTGCTGAGTCTGAAAGCCAAGGGTGGTTAAGAAGCTTGAAAAACATCTTTGTTCTTCTTACTTATAGATATATAGATATAAGATAGATATCAGTATGGAAATTCTTTTTGAGTTCTGAGTTTAGATCAGATCCACTAAGATCAGGACCAACAGGAAACAAGCAGGATGACGGTGTTGGTGAGAAGAGAAAAAAGTGTTTGGGAAAGAATCTTGGGAAATGATCTTTAGTTAGGAAGAAGAAAGCCTAAAAACCATCACAGGGAATTAATCATGAAGGGCTAAATCCCCTCCAATCTAGATTGAAGTGAAAAAAAGAAGCCGCAAGAGAGGGAAAGAGAACACAAGGGGGAGAGGAAATGGTAGTTCCTGTTGAAATCATGTGTAAAGCCCACAATTTTTTTAGAAAACAACAACCCAGGAGTAATAAAGTTTTCCTCAAATGCTATATAAGGTCAGCTGTTTCTGGTGTCCATTCCAATTTCCTATTTGTTCTCTTGCACTTTCAGAAGCCAGAAAGCTAAAAACGACATTTCCCACACTCCTTTGCAGCTGGATATGAATTAGTTGCACCTCAGCAAGGCTGAGATTTGGGAGGAGGAAATGAAGCAAGTGTCCTTTTCCTGGGACTATTGTTGTGGCCAAGCAGAAGGTGGCAACATGAGTGTTTGTTCATTCATGTTTAGATGCAGGAGTGAGAAGCAGTGACTTCTAGATCTAAATGTGGAAATTCGAGATCCGTAGATGAATCGCGCTTCCCAGTCCCATTCCTCCAGCCATTGCTGTTCTGTTGTTGTTGTTAAATGTCATCTAGTTCCAACCCATAGTCACCCTGTATAGGGTTTCCAAAGAGCAGCTGCTGAGCTTGAACTGCCAACCTTAGAGTTCAAATGGTCTAGCACATTAACCCACAGTGCCACACCAGAAGAAACTCCTAAAGAGTTTTTTTGTGTTGTTGTTAAGCGCTGTCTAGTCTGTTCCGACTCATAATGACTCTCTCCGTATAAGGTTTCCGGAGAGTGGGTGCTGAGCTTGAACCATCGACTTTGTGGTTCAACCTGACTTCGCATTCCAGCGCATTAACCTATATCACCACACCAGGACTCCCCAACCATTGCAGTAAGCATCCAAGTCATATATGAAAGCCCCTTCTGCCTGAAAAGCCTAGACAGGTTCACATGTCTGTTCTGAACCCTGACTGATACACAACAAACACTATACGTTTGTAACCAGTCCTCCCTGCTTCTTTCCCCCTCCTATCCATGGTCTGCCCAGTAGTCAGGGACCATCTTACTGAAACATCAATGAGCACATGTTACATCCTTCCTTAAAACCACCCAGCAGGCATGGAAAATAACATCCAGTCTCATGCACAGTCTACATGGTCCCAGGTGTTTAAAGTCCTGTCCGCCTTTGTCTTTGTCTCCTGGCCACCCCCAATGCTCCAGCCACACTTGGATAAAATCTGTTTCTCCGACACACCATGCCTGTTCCTACTTCAAGGCTTCTTCACTGAGATCAAGATGGCCTATGACTGTCTTACCGGGGGGCCTCTTGGGCCAGGACGTCCATTTTCTCCTGGAAGCCCGGGATCACCTCTTGAGCCATTGTAGCCGTTCATGCCAGGTTTGCCTCTGGATCCAGGAGGTCCCGGGTGTCCCTACAGAAAACAAAATTATAAAGGAAGCATTTTTTGCAAGAATATTATGACTCCAAGATTATGCAATATGGTACCCAAATTATAACACTGACTCACTCACATAGTCACTTGCTTATTTCTGTGAGACCTCTTTCTTCATCTGCCAAGTACTATGCAGTACAGTTTTAAAAATATAATTGAGCCAAATTTTAATTAATTTAATTTGGCAGATCTGGGAGAAATTTTTCCGGGAAATTCTTATACTCAATTGTAAATCACCTCAAATAACACTTCCTTCTGTCACTGGATTTTTACATTAGAACTGAGAATCTTAAAGTCATTTCCTATCTTAGAATTCACTAACCAATAAAAACTTCCATTATGAGTATAGATTTATTCTCCGAACATTGTACTCGACACAGTGAGTGTATCAAGTTCATATTTTGAAATGTTTTTTTCGGGAACGTCTTGCTTTTCAACTAAAGTGCCATGGTTCTCAAAGTCAGGGTACCTTCCTATGCAAAAAGTTGAGACCATAAAGAGGTCACCTTATATTATTTATGAACATTTGGTCATACAGATTTTGATAAATATTTTTACTGTCTTTAAAACCATGGAACACATTCAGGGACACTTACAGGTATGCCGTCCAAACCTGGAAACCCCGGGACACCAGTTGGACCCTAAAATCCCATAAAATAAAACAAATACAAACAAGTTACTAAACCATTAAGTTAAAGAGTTCATTTATGTGAAAATGCTAAGAAACAATGATTCATAATGAAAAACACTAAGCTGTCATTACCCTGTTTCTATCCTGATGGACTTTTACAAAGTAATTTTTTGGCATCTTTACTTAAGAAAGCAATTTGGCAGCATCAATTAAAAAGAAATTCAACTTCTCAGAACTTATTCCTGAGAGACAAACACTTGTAAACGTGAGTAAGAATGATGGACAGGATGGTTTTGCACAATTGTCCGCCAGGAAACTGAAGTCGAATCTCAAATTCTCATCAATCAGAGAACAATTCTATTTTATCCACACAAAGTCAGATGATAAACGATACAGTATTTTTAAAACAAACATGTGCAATCTTTATAAAAATGATGTGGAATCATCTTGAAGATGTTGAGTAGGAAAAGAAAGGTTCAGAATGATATGTACAACATAATGTCATTAAAAAATTTTTTTTAAGCCACATAACTCTATTCTGACTCATTGGGTATAAACAAACACTTCAGTGCATAGGAAAGGTCTGGAAAGGAACAAGGCTTGACTGTCTAAGAGATGTTTAGACTTCCTTTTACAGAAGGTACAAGTATGCTAAGCTGTTCTTAAGTGCCACTGAGTCAGTTCCCACTCATAGCGACCCTGTATAGGGTTTCTGAGAAGTGGCTGGTGGGTTTGAACCACCAACCTTGTAGCTAGCAATCCCGTACTTATCCTACAGTGCCACATATGTACTATCTGTGATAATTTAAAACATCAAAAGCGGACACATAAAAACAAATAATAAATAAGGGGGAATCTGTTGCAGACCATGCAGACCCGGTCAGGAGTTCAAGGCCCTGTGGACCCAAACGTTGCAGACCATCCAAACCATAGGCTCAGAGGATCAGACTATAGCCACCTAGCTGACATAGCAAACTGTTTCTCATCTGATTATTCAGTATGCTTGTTAGTAATTCTATACATGAGCCCTGGACATCCAGAGATAAATGTAAAAACCTTCCCTAAAAGCCGAGACAGTAAATTCCAAGAAGGCAAAGTTTTTCCTCAAAAAAAAAAAAAAAAAAGCTAAAGAGGATAGAGAGAAACACTGTTAACTGATGGTATATGGAGGGGATAATAATCAATGTAATGAAATAAGGTATATGAATGGTTGAATGTGAAATTGAAGATGTGCCCTGTAAACTTTCACTCAATCCACAATAAAAACCTTAAAAAAAAGCAGACACATAGTGCTGGTGAGGAGTAGCGTAAGCCTTTCTCTTAAGAAGACACTTACCTTGTCTCCCTTCTCCCCTGCTACTCCAGGAAGGCCACTGTCACCTCTCAGCCCTTTGTCTCCCGGAATTCCAATAGATCCTGGGAATCCCAGGGGTCCAATAGGACCCTGTGGCCCCAACAGTCCTGGTGGACCCTGAGAAGTTTAAAAAGAAAAGGGTGAAGGGGTTGCTTATCCAGAAGTATTATCTTTTGACACCAGCCGCTTGTGCCTGGCACAGTAAATGACAGCTATTTTTAATTATTATTGCACATGGCTAATTATTAAATGGGAAAACAAAGCAAGCCACATAATAAGATGTCCCAAGACCCACCTGTGGAAAATCGAAACGATAGAGGCTTTCTCTCTAATTACATGCTTATCAATGAACATTTCTAGAAATATAAACAAAAAATAATACTGTATCTAAGATTTAGAAAGGCAAGCCAGGACAATTTTACATTCTTTTGTGTGTGTATCTTACCATAAGCAAATGTACCAATTATAATAAAAATAAGTTATTTTTTATACATCTAAAGTCAACTGATTTTTAAGAAGAGGGCTAAGTCCATCCAATGGAGAAAGAGTCATCTCCTCAATAAAATGTGCTGGGATAACTGGATCTCCACACGCAAAAGAATGAAACAGAGCCCATACCTCACACCATTTACTGAAGTTAACTCTAAATGGATTAAAGACCTAAATAAAAGAGCTCAGATTCTTAGAACAAAACCCAAAGTGAGGCTTGAGGACCGATTTTGCACAGCAATGGAGTCTTAGATATGACACAAAAGGGATGAACAGCTAAAGACAGATCAACTGGACTTCATCAAAATTAAAGGACTTTGCCAATAAAATGAAGAGATCACCTATAGACAGTCAGAAAATACTTGTACACCGTGCTTCAAATAAAGGTTTAATATCCAGGACATATGAGTACAAAGAATTCTTAGAATTCAACAATAAAAAGACAAGCAACCCAATCAAAAAATGGACAAATTTGATCTACAAGTGACCAATAAGCACAAGCACATGAAAAGACATTTTGTGTCAGCAGTCATTAGGGAAATTCACATCAGCCACCATAAGTCACTGCTTCCTCCCAGCTAGGGTGACTATTTTGTGTGTATGTGTGTGGTCATTAAAAAATAACTTTATTGTGATAAAGTAGATGTAGGGAAAAAATTGTCACTCTAACCATTTTTAAGTACACCATGCATAATATGTATTGAATTCACAATACTATAAAACTACCATCCCTGTCTACCTCCAACTTTTTTTTTCCATCACCAGAGACAGAATTTCAGTATGAAATAACTTCTTATGCCTCCCTCCTGCAACCATTTTTACCTCTATGCCTTTGCCTACACTAGATACTTCATATAAGTGTGATCATGCAATAATTGTCCTTTTGTGTCTGACTTGTTTCACTTACCATGAAGGTTTCTAAGGTGGCTATTATCAGAAAAACAGAATGCACCCATTATTGGCAAGGACGTAGAGACATTGGACCCCTCATCCATTGTCAGTGAGATTGCACACTGGTGTACGTAGCCCACTGTGGGAAACAACTTGGTGGCTCCTCACAAAGTGAAACAATTACCATATGACTGAACAATTTGGTCTCTTGTCTGCCTTTGGTGATATCTACTCCTACTTTGAGGAGTAAGGTGTGCCTGACTCAAGTTATATAGAGTCTCTTCCATCGCCTTATATGCATGGGACAGTTGGACAATGAATAGGGAAGACTGGAAAAGAACTGATGTATTTGAACTGTGCTGTTGGCAAGCAATATTGACAGTACCAGGGACTGCCAGGAAAACAAACAAATATGTCTTGGAAGAAGTACAGCCAGAAAGCTCCTTAGAAGCAAAGATGGCAAAACTTCGCCGCTCATACTTTAGACATGCTATCAGGAGGGACTACTGCCTTGAGAAGGACACCATGTTTGGAGAAATGGAGGGTCGTCAAAAAGGAGGAAGACCCCAACAAAACGGATTGACAGTAACTGCAACAATGGGCTCAAACAGACCCAGAGAGCATTTCATTCTGCTGTGCACAGGGTCGATACGAGTCGGAGCCAGCTGGACAGTACCTAAAAAGACATATGGGACATATCTCTATTGTTGTTGTTGTGTGCCGTCGAGTTCATTCTGACTCAGAGCAACCCTGTAAAGGGTTTCCAAGGAGTGGCTAGTGAGTTGAACTGCCAACTTGTGCTTAGCTGTCCACTGCCTATCCTACATGCCACAGCAGACACTTGTATCTACATACATATACATACATGTTGTTGTTTTTGTTAAGTGTTACCAAGTGGTTTCCAGCTCACAGCAACCCTGCATAGGTTTTCTGAGGAGCAGCTGGTGAGTCTGAACTTCTCACCTTACGGTTAGCAGTCCAGTGCTTATCCTATAGTACCACACTAGGACTCCATATGTTATATTTTTTAAATTTAATTACTTTTTCTCATTTGCCAACCATTCCAACTCTATGAGTCATATCAGCAACCTTTAACATCTGCTTCAAATCACAAATCACAATTGTACTTTATACATATTTTCTCTTTTCTTCATAGTTTGCATCATCATAACAGCTGCTACTGATTATCTTTAAAAATCCTAGAAATTTAAACTCAAAATGAAGCACGGGGTCAAGCGCCTTCCTAGCCTAACCATTGGATCTTGGCTTAGAGGTGGAGTCGACCAACTTAGAGACCCACAAGCCCAGACCAAAGGGTCTCACTACAACCCAGTCGCCCCTGCTGCGCTTCTGCCTCTTGATTGACATCCAAGGACAGAAATC